TATCAAATTATAGCCTATCCAAGATGAATCGCAATCTGTCTTTTTTGAATATCATTGCGGGTTCAACAACTTCTTAAGTATTGGACAATCAACGAGTCACCCACATATTAAAAAAATATATGGAATTTATAATTTTATAATATTTTTCTGCTATATAAATACATGTTTTTTATTTAACAAAATTTAATCCGAATAATATTAGTTACATTCCAATTATGTAAAAAAATAGCTTCTCAAATATAAAAGTTAAATTAATCGATAAAATAGCGAACACAGTCACGGGTAACTTCTTGTATAGGTAGACATGTTTAAAAATACTTAAAGACGTAGTAAGGAAGTGAATCTTGTTAGTACAGCCTACAAATAAACATTGAACAAATAAGAACAGCAAACAGACAGACTATTACGTAACCGATTTTAGTGTAACAATTATCATTGAAATAGGAAATAGATCCAGAAATACAGACATATCATATAATATTATTCTTGTAATTTGTTAAAATATATTAAGGCTGAGTTCGCACTAACATGAAAGTTCCCAATGAAGCAAGAAAATCTATCAATACGTTAATAGCCTTAATTCTGAGGAAGATTATATAAATGAAATGCCTCAACGAAGTAAGCAAAAATCGTAATAAATACGTTAATACACTTAATTCTGAATAAGGCTATAGGAATGAAAACCCGTCTTTGCAATTTTCAGCTGACTCAAATCAAAGGCCTGATTTAATAAAATATCAGTATCAAAAATCTATAATGAACTAGTTTTTACCCGCGACTTTGTCCACGTTAATATCGTAATTGATAATATTTATAGCTGATCCGGCGAGCTCTATTCTACCATAAATAACCAGATATTTATTAAGTTTTATTTTCATATTCGATCGATTCTTATTCGACCGAACCAGAATTTTTTAAGTTTTATTTTCTTATTCGATCGAACAGGATTAAATATCCTATGTCCGTCTCCCGGTTCTAAGCTAACTCCCCACCAATTTTCAACCATGTCCCTACAGCCGTTCTTGATTTATAAATAGTCTAATACAACTTTCTTTTATATATATAGATAATGAAGTTATAAATCCAAACACTATCAAAGATCGTAAATTAAAAATAATTTATACAATTATTATTTTTTACAAATTTTTATTTAACTATCAAACACGTGAAACGTGTCGATCACAAGTTTGTCTTATCAATTAAAACAACGTTAGCACAATGATAATATATTTATTTCAGATCAATGATAAAATCACCACGATTGTCATTAGGTATTTCCTACTTATCAAACTACATATGGTCGGAAAAAAACCCTGAGATTTCAGTAAGAACTACATTTTTTTTCTATTTGCTTTTCTCGTAATAAATAGGCTTATCGGATTCATTTTCAAAGGTTATATAAAAACGACAAGGAAAATTGTAAGAGAGGATCCTTGTAAGAGAAGATTACTAAATAAATAAAGTCATTAACTTTAAACAATCCCCGACCTTACGTCTCGACAGCTACACCTTTAGTAAGAAAATATTACCACAATAATATAAGATGTATTGATAAGGTATATTACAAGGCTTAGTTTCATAAAGTATAAAAGAAGACAGCTGAAAAATATATTGTATGAAGTATATATAATATATCAGTAACTTGTAACCACCAAAACAACAAACGTACCTAAAACTTGTTTTATTTGCTCAAAAGATTACAAATCATACTTTAAATTGTTACTAAAAAAGTTCAATCACCCACATTTAAAAAGAAATTAATATTTAGAAGAAAAAGAGGTGTGTCAAAACATCTATAACAAAAACTCCAAAGAATTGAATACTATTCTAACATTTAATAAATAATATAACTTTATTAATGAGTAAAAATACTTGGACATTGATTGTTTCTCTTTAAATTCGTAAAACAATTTCGTAATTCGTATTGATTGACAGAAATACAGTTATTGTCTCAGAAAACTAAACTAAAACTAAACTATGTAAATTAAATGTTTTACATACAAATCTATTAGTAAGTATATATATACATATATATATACATATACATATACATATTATATACATATAAAAAATACTGTTTGATTCTAGTATCATTTTTTATCTTCAAACTAAAAAATTTAAACATTGTTCTGTTTATTGGTAACTATTATTTCTTTGCTTGTGTCATGGTTTCCTATTCAAATACCTTAATATTACTCTACCTAAAACATCTCATTACACTGAGAAAAACGAATACGAATTAATTAATATTAATAAGAATTAATACGAACTCCGTGCAAACTAACTTATTGAGCATGTATTATTTGTTTCAGTAGACCTACCAGAAGTTTGAAACGTCACTACATACAAAGAGTATAGTTTAAGATTCATCAATAGGACGTCGCGTAATATAATTTTAAGGCTATTGAATAGTAAACAGAGAACGATTCGCACGCAGTAAGAAAATGCAATTATACTTAATACATTCAGTCGAATCGAAAACTTGAAGATTAATTATTTCGCTCAACAACATCAATATCCTATTATGTAGATAATATTATCCTTCGCTATCAGTGAGGCTATTATAAGTATCTTTTATAGCATAGCAACAGCCACGGGGTGTAGTTATCAATAATATAATATTTGTAATCTTCGATCGTGTTGCGTGACCGTCGCTCTCCTCGGTCTGTTTTAATTAGCTATTGTGTTACAGCGTCTTGAATAAATAATAAAAAATATATAAACTATCAATGTTATAAATAAATGATAATAGCATTTATATTTAACTCATTTATTTGACATAATGAGAACTAAGATTTAAGAGTTGTATCACTCACATCTCGTCTGTCCGTGATCACGGTTGCTGTAAAGTAACCGAAACGTCGGGAGTATGTAGTTTATAATCAAAAATAAAAAATCGCGTCGTAAATCCGAAATTATTATTTCCATTTATTTGACATATTTATTTTAGGGATATGTTTGATAATATTTTTAGACTAGCTATTAATGTAGCATGCATGTTGAGATTTATATATAAACTCTATAAATATAATAATATTACTACGTACATAATAGGTTGGCCACGATCCTTCTATATAAAACAAGAGCTCTTTAATAATTCCGAAACCGATTGTCAAGGTTGTTTGTGTATATAAATTAGTTATAACATATGAGCCATCATTTCTGTAATTTTATTGAACCATAAAAATGTGAGCTTTTACATTTTATTGAGGTAAGCGTGAAGGTATAATTAAAAATTTGTAAATATTCATAAAGAATACTTAACGTTATTGTAAAGGGTGTGCGAAGGTTACGAACATATACAACCTACTTGGATTACACACATATACTATTAATTACATAGCGAAATATGACGTAGTGGTAAATTGAACATTATAATTAAACATTGTTTGCCAAATTTTTATAGAAGTTTAGTCCGTAAACTTAAACAAAAATGTTAAATTCAAAATGCCACACCGGATTTTATTGCATTATTCATGAAATGACAGAATGTGTTTAAGAATTAATGAGCTCAGAATATATAAGTATACTGTATAACTATATAAAACAAAAACCTTATAGCTTCCGTATTTTGTATAAATAAATATAACACCAAAATTGTGCAAATTAATATAAATGGAATTATTTTTTTATAGTCGTCATTTGTTTCGTCACGATCATAAAATACACGAAGTATTGAAGCATAATCCGACCGTGATTAGACCTAGGACAAGCGTCCTCGCCGATGGACCATAAACAACTACAATGAACAATAATTTCTATAGAAAAAAATATCAAACAGATAATAATCATCAGATACATTTTATACATCGATGTAAAACGATTATCATATAGCGGTATCGATATGCAAAACACCTGAGTCTTTGACCTGAGATCAACAACCTAAATTCCGTTTATGTCAAATAAGAAATAATGAAATATTCGGACGTAATATCATCGAATGACAAAAATAATTCTAATTATATTTTAATATCAAATAACCTTCAACAATACAACGGTATGGATGCCATATGTTAATATTAATAATCGACCTAGTAATATAATTCGTCTGTAGCGGAACAGTGTCACAGACGGCTGAGGTTGGCGACCCCTGGATTCCGGTTAGCAGAATACATCATGGAACACGTCATTACAACTAGACCGGGAACATCTCATTATAAACATTCATAGAATATTATTCTAATCTAGTTTATTACGTAACGGTAAAACGAATTGTTTATTTTTATTTCTTTTTTTCAATATAAAATTCATTTTTCACGCCGCCTTTATTATATTAATATGTTATAGTTTGAAAGGCGATGAAAAAATATGTCGCATACGTATTAATAAAATTTAACAACGTACATACGTTTTACGAGATATATATTTTTTAATAGATTTTTATTTTTAAATAAGAAAAAATAATATTACCATACGTGTATATAATATTTGTTGAACGACTTCAAATACATATTATCGAACGAAGGTGAACGAACCACTTGTTTTACTTGTCTCTTAATAGCGCCAAAATATTTATTTAATGTATTATTATTTTAATAAAACTTAATTGTTAATTAACGAAATATGTCTTATAAATACGTATTAACTTTTAAAGATTATTATATTTATTTTCAACCTATGAATTATTAAATTTTTTTTTTGTTAAATAAATAAGTTAAGGGTGATAATTTAAATTAATTCACAATAGGGACCTCTAAAATACACATAACAGCGAGTAAAGCACACGAGCCATCTTAAAGCCAGCCCAAACACATCTAGTTTATTTGTGATGTTTAGTCACATAGAAGTATTAATATTAAATAACAAACAACATATAAAGCTACACAATTAAAACCCATCACCTATATAAGCTGAATATCACTTGTAAATTATAAGCGTATTAAGTAAACAATTGTGTAATTAATTTATTGCATAAATTCACATTCGATAATTCTCTCATAATCACTAATATCATAGCAATAAAGCATAAAATCGCTCGTCAGGAAGCTAGAACGTAACAGTTACTGGTAGGTTTGTTCAGGCGTATCATTACTATAGATTATTGTTAGGCCGTGCGTTATCTAATATTTCTATTACGTATTCATTTTATCTGTTCTAACTTCCTGGCAACTGTTGAGGAAAAATGTTTCTTTTCCACCATCTACTTCCTGCTTCCTTCTACAGTCGGCGAATTACAATGGCGAGTGCTCAATGAAATATATCGAGAGAGAAAAAATTAAGTTATTATGACCATGGCAATGTGTTGAACTACGTATTAGTCACTACAAAGCGTTTGGTAATTTACACGTATATTAAAATAGACTCACCGTCACAGGTAGCGGCCAAGAATTTGCCGTTAGCGGAGAAATCCATGAGGAGTACATTGCCTGGATGACCTTTGAGATTCTTCAGCAGCCAGGGATGACTGAAATCCGTCTTTCCAGCTTTCCACGTACCGCGCTTCTTGCTTTTCCCACTCGGACGATTTTCATTATTAGAGGTTTCGGATGCCGTTTCCGATTGAGCGCCTGTAATTAAAAAGAAATGTTGAATAATAATTTAATGAACACTCCAAAATAAAAAGTTAAAAGCCCTTCAACGAAGTCTTATTTCGTAAAATTCTACTAAATACGTATAATTTTGTTTACGTCCGAAACATTTTCACGAATATACATATGTATATAGATATTTTTTAATTTAACCGAATTTGCTTGAAAATATAAAATGTAATTATACTATAAATATTATATTATACTATAAATAAATATGTAATTATACTATAAATATTATATTATAATATAAATAAGAGTTTACATAACCCTTTATATAATTAATCATAATAATTAACCGAACGTGATTTTTCAATCATAATACATTGTTATTAGTTACACAGGAAACAATGGCGGCGTGCTTTATCGTTTTGTGGTACTGATAATTGGAACCTGCGTTAAACTTTGACGTAGTTAATAAGCTTTGTATCTCGTGTACTTATCTTTGTTTTCTTATAAGCTATATTTGACTACAGTTACGTTGAACGTCACTTTCACTGAACAACCGCTAACTTAGCATCTTATGATGTTAAGTAAGTGGTGTTTCGAAATTTCGAGAAAACACTTTAACACTTCACTCCTATTATTTATTTTCTCCTTCATAATAAATGGAAACAATTTAAAAAGAAACACTAATCAATTTTTATATATAATAAAACACTTAAGGATGTTTTATCAAGTTTGATAATTTAACAAGTCGTTATAATGATACTGTTTATAAATAACTTTAATACATGTTTACATATTCTTAGCGAGACGTACGTAACGTCGCGTCGTGCCGAAATACGTTTAAAAACAAGGCCGTTCAGTATGAAATATTAAAAATTGTAAAAATATACATTTCAATATAATTTAAATATTGTATTCACATAAAAAAATAAACTGTTATGCATCTTAAAAATTCAGACAGGTTTACATTGCAATAAACATGTTAAATCTTAAACAGAAATTTAAATAATATTGTCTTCATGTAGATAAATAAAGTGAGAAAAAAAGATTAAAATTATTTTTCCCCCCACACATACCCTCAATATTAAAATTGCCTCTGTCCAAATCACTCAACATGGTTGAATCATGGTTGGATATATCCATAAGTTGTTTCGCCGTCGCTCCGGAGGGAACACATCGGTGTTCCCACGTTGGTCTTTGACCAAGTTGGAGAAACAGTTGGCGGTGGAGGCGTCGGTTGTCCAGTCCTGGACCATGCGGGTCGAGCAGCCCGTTGAGGTGGATGAGGAGGCGCGCAAGTTCCGCCGGTCCCTTTGGCGGATTTGCGATGCGTCGATGCCCCGCGTCACGCAACGCCCTCCCAGACACCAGGTGTATTGGTGGACGCCGGAGATCGCGCAGCTGCGTTCAGCTTGCGTGGTGGCGAGACGCCAATACACCCGACAACGGAGGCGGCATCCCCGCAACGAGGCCGATGAACTTCGGCTTCGCGACGCCTACAATGAGGCAAAGAGCGAGCTTCGGCACGCTATTTGCAGGTCAAAGAAGTCGGCTCGCGAGGAGTTAATCGCGCGTCTGGACAATGACCCGTGGGGGCGTCCGTATCTCGGTGCTCGGAACAAAATCCGGGCCCAGACTGCCCCGGTCACGGAGAGTCTAGAGCCGGAGTTTCTGCGAAGCGTCGTGTGCGCCTTGTTCCCCAGGGAGGTCGCACACACGATGCCAGCAGACAACTCACGCGAGCTGGACCGGTCGGAGGCCATACCGACCGTCACTCTGGAGGAGCTTGAGGGATTCCTGTCACCACTCAGAGCCAAGAAAACCGCCCCTGGGCCGGACGGCGTTCCCGGACGCGTCCTGGCTCTCGCCCTGGGCGAGTTGGCCGAGTGGTACTTGGGTATCCTCAATGAGTGTTTGAGGACGGGCCGCTTTCCATCTTCTTGGAAAGAGGGGAGGCTCGTTCTGCTCCAGAAGGGAGGAAGACCTGCAGACTCGCCGTCTGCATATCGTCCCATCGTCCTGCTAGACGATGCGGGGAAGCTCTTCGAGCGGATCCTCGCGTCCCGTGTCGTCCGACACATCAGCAGGGATGGACCCGATTTGGCCGAGTGCCAGTATGGTTTTCGGGGTGGGCGGTCTACTATAGACGCCATCCTGAAATTGAGGAGTCTCGCAGATGACGCCGTGTCTAGGGGCGGAGTTGCGTTGGCTGTGTCCCTCGACATCGCCAATGCGTTCAACTCGCTACCCTTTGGCGTCATCGAAGAGGCCCTCCGACACCATAGACTGCCGCACTACATCCGGCGGGTAATCGGGTGCTACCTCCGCGGACGGGAGATCTCGTTCGTGGGGAGCGACGGTAGGTTGCATCGTCACGAGGTGCGCTGCGGTGTTCCACAGGGGTCGGTCCTTGGGCCTCTCCTGTGGAACCTTGGGTACGATTTCGTGCTCCGCGGTGCCCTCCCAACCGGGCTGAGCGTCGTCTGCTATGCGGACGACACGCTCGTTGTAGCCCGAGGCGATGACCTAGCAGAGGCGAAGGCGCGTGCCGAGGCGGGAGCCGCCTTAGTAGTACGGCGCATTGAGATGCTCGGGCTGAGGGTGGGTCTCGACAAAACCGAGGCCCTCCTGTTCCACCGCCCTCGAGCAGGACCTCCGACGGGCGCCTGCATCACCATCCGCGGCGTCCGCGTCGAGCTCAGTCCCCGGATGAAATATCTGGGGCTGACTCTGGACGGAAGGTGGAACTTCCGGGAGCACTTTCGCGGGTTAGTCCCGAAACTCCTCGGGACGGCGAATGCTCTCGGGAGGCTTCTCCCCAATCTCGGTGGTCCGAGTGTGGCATGCCGGCGTTTATACACCGGTGTGTTACGCTCAATGGCGCTGTACGGAGCTCCAGTGTGGGTCGGTGCCCTCACAAGGCCGAACGTGGCTGCGCTGCACAGAGTGCAGCGCGTCATGGCGGTGAGGGTGGTACGAGCATACCGCACTGTCTCTCATGAGGCGGCTTGCGTGCTGGCTGGGACGCCTCCCTGGGAACTGGATGCCCAGGTTCTGGCGGAGGTTTACCACCAGCGCGCGCGAGATCGATCCCGGGGAACGAGTCCGGACCGGGATCGGGTGGATAGTTGGCGACGATCTGCGCGGTCGTCCTTGTTCCATCGGTGGAGGCAAAGGCTCTCTGAGCCAGTGGCCGGGTTGCGAACCGTGGAGGCTATTCGCCCGCTCCTCATGGAGTGGGTGGACCGCCGACACGGATCCTTGACTTTCCGGCTGGTGCAGATCCTCTCGGGGCACGGTTGCTTCGGGAGGTATTTGTGCCATATAGTCGGGAGAGAGCCGACAGCGACGTGTCACCACTGCAGTCGCGTGGAAGACACCGCTGACCACACCTTGATGGAATGTCCAGCGTGGATATCCGAGCGTAGCCAACTCATCCGCGTGGTTGGCGCAGACCTTTCGTTGCCGGCAGTGGTCCAGGCCATGGTCGGCAGCGAGAGGGCATGGCAGGCGGTGGCCGACTTCAGCGAGAGAGTCATCTTGCAGAAGGAGGCTGCTGAACGAGTGAGGGAAGACGACCCCTCCTCGGCGCCGCTGCGCCGACGAAGGCTGGGTCGAAGGCAGCGGGCTTATGCCCGCGACCTGCCTCCCCAGTGAGGAAGCCTCCGGGCGTCGGTGGGGAACCGGCGTCCGGATAACATAGGCTAGAGGAAGAGCGGCGTGTTTGGCGTTCCCGGCACGCTGCTCTTGAGTCGGAGGGGTGGTGTGGTCAGCCACTGATACCCCTGCCGATGGCGGAGTCCCCTTCGGGACTCGTGCGTAGTGAGCGGAAGTATGGCTTGCCGTTCCCGCTCACTAGTCTACGCACAGCGCAGAGAACGTCGAGGTGGTTTAGTGGGTGGAAATCCCACATGCCCCTGTCGCGTTTCCCCCGCGGCAGGAAGTCTTTAAAAGATTCCCCTCGTAGAAAAAAAAAAAAAAAAAAAAAAAAAAAAAAAAATATCCATAAGTTGTTTATAAAGTATAGAAAAATTTAACTCAGCAAGATTTTACAAGATTTCTAATAGTTAAGGTTTCTATAATCAACAGTATCTCTATTTTATAGCTGTGAACTTTATAACACTTAAGATATTCATATAAGATAAACATATAAAATAAATATAAGCATAAATTGAAGGGAAGGTATATTGCATTTTTTAATTTAATCATATTATGAAGGGAAAAAAACGAATTACTTAATTATTAATATTACTAATTTAGAAATTGTATTACAAATAATATTTTTATTTAAATCAACCACCATTAACAATTACATCTTCTTAGAAGATTCTTATAAAGTTTTAAAATAAGATATGTAAAGAAAAATATAAAAAAAATAACATTGACATGCAACATCTTTGTGATGCAAATTTATTAGCATAAAACTAACTGTAATTTATAAGAACTAGCTTAGAAAAATACAATGGAAGACATCACATGGTCTGTAAAGCCATGTGATGTTTCGAAGGCATTGTTTGAATGAAAACGTACTAAAGAAAACGATTAATAAGTTAGAATAAGTAATTTAAGCCAATAACAGTAAATTGTAATATTTAGTACCTGTTACGCTCTTAGATTCATCATTTTGTACATCACATTTTTGTTGGCCAAAGAAGGTCTTGTAAATAAAGTGTAGAATTACACAGAAAAATGCCGTAACGCCAGCCAATATATAGACATTCATTTTTAACCGGACTTATAACTCGGTGTCACTTATTATTACAATTAAAATAGAACCTATATCAATTAGCGGCAACAGCAATCACGCGGTTCCAAATTAACTAAAGTCTAAAGCAAACTTCGATTTGACACTTGACGCTGACTTTGACTGAACAGTGACTGAGTCGAATAATCCGAATCGTGGGTGAATGCGTGAATGGTAAAGTGACGATTGCCAGCATTGAACAACTGCAACTGAATGAGTTCAAAGCAAAATAAATTTACATTTGTGCAAAATGCTTTGTTCTTAGCGAACCTAACATAAAAGAAGAATATATTTATTTTTCTGAAATATTACAGTTTAATAAAGATACTGGCTGCAATAATAATCGAAATATATAAAAATAAAACTTATATGTCATATAATAATTGAATGCACGTTTTGACAGTAAGACAAAGATTTTAAAATTATTATGGTGACTATATTTTTTTAAAAGCTTAAATAAATATGCCCGCCCGTAGCAGATCCAGGTAAATAAAATCAAAGAAATTATATATTTTACTTTAGTAATTACAGTATATATATAAAATTATAAATGATATGTTAGATAAATCCAATGACCGCTTATTATGGTAACCCTTACAACTACGGATATATCTATCTCGTTTTTACATAGCTTCAATAAGGTTCAATAGAAAAAGATAGGTGATTCTAAATTTAAACCTTCTAGAAAAAGATATTGAAGTTTTATATAAACGTCAGTGTTCTGTCATGAGAGTGAATGATTCAGTGTAGACTCGGTTATAGATTCATTACTACTATATTCTGCGACAACGTTGTGTTTTCTTGAAGGACTCAAGAATTGCAAGCTCTTTAAAAGTGTTAATTATTTGAAAAAATGCCTCGACGTGGTCGATCAGCAAGCCCGCCTCCAGCTCCTCAGCGAAGGTAGATATATTCAGATTGACTTGAATTTTCATCATTGGGTGATATAACCTCAAGTGACAATAATTTCAGAGCTGCGCCGCCACCATCTAGGAATGTACCAGCTCAGGCTCCTCCATCCAGCCCTGCTCCCATGGGAGCGGCTCAGCCACAGCAGCCTTCGCTTTTCGGCCAAATGGCAGCAACCGCCGGCGGTGTCGCCGTTGGTTCAGCAGTGGTACGTAGTTTGTTTATTACGTAACTGGATTATGTTTTATAATATTATTTTACCGATCTCATATACAAATATCTGCAATAATAATTTATTTCACAATATTTCATAATTGTTTCGAGATGTCTCCTTAATCGAGCACGTTTTTTATCTGGATTATATCCAAAAGACGTCACGTGTGTTGACTTGACATTTTTTGCTGTCTTATCGTGTTTACAAAATTAAAATAACAAGTCATAAATATTTATTGTGTTTATAAGTAACTAAATAACGCCAATGTGACATAGGAATTGGCTTTAAAATGAAAATAATATAATTATGCAGTTACAAGTGCAGTTTTATATTAGGAAGTTAAAATGTTATAAAAGAAAATTGTAAACAGCATTTAATGACTACTAAAAGAAAAGAATAAAGGAAGCCATATTCTTATATGAAATAAAAATCAGTCTGCTGTTTATCATATTGGATTCAAAATATAATTTCAAAATCACATGAATATTTTAAGTTTTTCAATTAAATACTTAAATGTGATAGGAATTTTCCAATTATTCTTTTTGAAGTGAATAGTTCAAAAAACAAATTCATAATAATCTTAGATTTTACCAAAGTACTGAAAACAAAGTGTGTATAAATTTAATTTTTTTCAAGGCAAAACATGTTAAAATAAAATTACACAATAAAACCAATAAGGGATGTCATGATGTTTCTCATGGAATTATTACTGATATATGGAAACTATATAAATTATATGGGAACCAAGTTTTTGTTGGTAAATATGTAATTTGATGAAACTAAAATTTATTCTTTCATGCATAAACGGCTCAATGGTTTTTAATAAAAGTTTATATTAAAAGTATTGTATCGATTAAATATCAGTATACAAGCATCTATTTATTCTGTTTTTCTTTGAACTTAGTTCTTTATAAAGATACACAGAAGGTACATTATGTGTCACATGTTCAAGTACATTTCTCTTTAGTTCCAAAGTCCACTCCGACAATGTCACAGGCAAAAATTTTCTTTGCATACTGTCATTACATGAATAATGTTTCAAAACATTGATATATCTATTAAGAAGACTCTACAAACACATGAATTACAAAATGGGATAGTCTGTAAACTAAGATAGTAATAAGTTTTTAACTCAGTCCGATAGTGATTCATTGTGTCCAAATCAATAAAAATGCTATCAAATTGCTATTTCTACTAAATAAGAAAACTTAAATGTGGATAAATAGTCACGTAATTCTTTATTATGACATTAAATAATTTATTATAAAAACTATCATTAAGACGAAGTAGGCCTTGCTTTCTTAGTTTTTCTTCAGTACTTTGGTTTTTAAGATAAATTTTCACACTTCATTTGATGTTTTTCAAAATATTGCATCATACTTTCCTGTTATCTTTTTTAATTTGATATTAATAAAAGATAATACTTAAATATATATTGTAAAATATTTTTCATATGATCAAACTAACATGACTACTTTTAAATATAAAATGGTTAAAAGAAAATTTATCATGACAATAATCATACATCTACATTTCTTTTTAAACATTATACAACAAATAAAATAAATGTCTTCAAATTTATGATAAGTAATATGGTATGATTAAACATAAGAAACATTGGCAGAAATTCTGAATAAATGCCACAATAATTCAAAAGCCATTGAATTTGATTACACTTTAAGTTGAGATTAAGAATGTATGATAATATAACAAAATGATAGTTGTTAATATTGATCAGTTTGTAAGATACCAAACCTTAGCAAATCAGGATTATATTAAGAAATTTTTAAACTCATTACAATTCCTAAAATATTGTTACATTCTTAAATCATTGAGATATAAATCATAAAAGCAGTTCTTATCTAATAATAGTTTAAAAAGATTATATAAATAACAATCATGTGTTAATAAGTCCATATATATTTCAGGGTCATGTCGCTGGTAGTGCTCTGACGGGTATGTTCAGTGGAGGTAGTAGCAGTGAACCGGCACAACAACAACAAGCTCAGCCGGCTCAAGCCACATACAATCAGTACCAGAATCAACAGCCGCAGGGTCCATGCGCTTGGGAGATCAAACAGTTCATTGAGTGCGCTCAACAACAGCACGACCTCTCTTTGTGTGAAGGATTCAATGAAGCCCTCCGTCAATGCAAACTGAACAACCACATTTAAATTAAACAAAGCTGTCGCAAGATGCTATTCGTTTTTCAAAGATATTTATTCCTCCTCAAGACCTGCGCATGCAAATTCATCAGATTGAAGACCAGTGCTAAAGTACAGATGTTTAAAATCACGTCTGATCTGCGACACCTTCCTAGTTATTATTATACATAATTTTGTTACTTTATGTAGAAATAAATTTTAGTAAATATATTATTTTTTTGAAATGACGTAGACATACCATATTCAATTTATTTTATAATAGTTATTAAAAAGTTATGAATAAAATACAATAGAAAACCAAAATTGTTTACTTTTATTTACACTTTCTTTTTAAAAACCGTTTCAATACTGTTTTTTTGGTGAAATAGTTTTCCTATTTCAGGTTGATCTAGAATGTTTTCAATACTTTAATAAAAAAAGAAGTACCTATATAATAATAAATCTTTCATAATAATCGTAGAAAAATGTGCAACTGTAATAAAGGGTAGGTACTGTTGATGTTTGAATCTTTTAAGTTTTAACATCCATATTAATATGTAGTACCAAAGTCGAAACAAAAGTAATAAAGTTCTGTCTAAAACTGTTGTTTCTTATAAAAATGATTACAAATCTTAGTTTTAATACGCATACGTTAAAAACATTCCTAATTTGACCAAACATTTTATACCTAACAATAAGACTTGTTTGAACACAGGCAATAAGTGACAATTATTTCGGTGTCATCCCGTTCAAGTTACAACAATGTCCTTCAAATTGTAACGGTTGCATTAAACTAAAAAATATTCCAATAATAAAATGATATTAATTAGAAAATAGATGTATTTACTGAAACTATGAAAGTATTGTGAGACTTAATGCTAACTGTGATTCAGTTCCGGCGGCTACCGTGGTCGCTCAAGATACTCGCGAGCCGATGCTCACGCGCCATCGCGACCGCCCACCATCGTAGTGACGCCGATGCCAAGACGCTCTATGTTCAGGGATGCTGCGGCCGTGGCGGGGGGAGTTACTGTCGGCACTACCATGGTACATTAAGATTCTAATTACTGTAAATTTTTAATAAAATGGGAAAAATTGTCAAAATATTCTATATTATGTGGAAAATAAGTTCTTAGTTCAGGATAACACTAGTAGTCGTTTGAAATAAATGAGTCTTCAGAATTTTTATTTCATTGGGTCTGATAGTGTCATAAAAAATTATAGTTTCGGATATATATATTGTATTAAAATTAAATTCAGTGTTCTGATAGGAATAAAAAAAACATGAGTTACTATTTATCTATCTCATTCTTTCCACAGTTTCAGTTTCCTTTATGTAGCCCGATTTTCCTTTTTTTTTATCTAAATTGTTTCTGAATGTATATGTAAATCATTAAGTTTTTCTTAAATTGTTTTATATGTATTGTTGATAATTTAAATGTTGTAGGGACACTTAGCTGGCGAGGCAATCTCAAGTTTGTTTACTGGACGACGCAGAGAAGAGGTGGTCCACTCGTTACCTCAAAATTATCAAATGGGCACAGAACCTTCAGGACCTTGCGCATATGAAATAGCCCAATTTTTAAATTGTGCTGCAAATAAAGAAAATCTTGAGGAATGCCAAGCCTTTAATGAAGCCTTAAGGGAGTGCAAGAAAAGAAATCGTAAGAATATTAGATTTATATTATAGAGTTATAGCTTCAACAATTAGATGATTTTAATCTTACGTTTTTTTTAAATTTCAGATATTCCCTAACACCAGCTTTGAAATAAGAAATATGAAACCATAAAATATATACATAAATCTAAGCATGGTTTTTAATTTTCATTTCCTTCTTCGTATCATATGAAATAAACCTTTATAAGACTCTTAGAACTAGAGTTACATAAATAAATAATAACATTATATTTTCTATAAATTCTTGTTTGCATTTGAAGAAAAGATATTTAAATTTTTATCAATTTCATTTTGAATTCTTTTTTAAGTAACTTTCAGTCAATCAACTTTTATGAATTATCCAATCTCAAATGATTGAAGCTTTTTGTAAGGCCAAAAAATTACTTGTTTCATTTTATACATACGTACTAAGTAGGTAATTGCTAAAACAAGTCTAGCAATATTCATTATTGCAGATTATAATTGATCAGCGGAATATAAGAAAAATATATTTTTTTTACATAATTTTGTAAGCTCGTGGATGAATCCGTAATAGGTCGATTGTATTTTATCTTACTTAGTTCAAAATAAAAATAAAGTGAATATAGTGGAGAAATAATAACACATAAATACAGGTGTATACATATAAACTTATTTATTTACACCTTATTAATAACATGTTGTGACGTTTTCAAAGTGTAAAGAACCGTTTGTAAACTAAAACTTGTTTCGAGCATTACAACTTACAATTACTCGTGATACTTTTGTTGCGTTTACGGACACTGATAGAAAATCTGAGACAATAAATTAAACATTTAAATTTTACTTAAAAACAAAAACTTATCTGTACAATTATAGATTCGGTAATTTACATTTTGGCACGTGATGTATTTAATATTGCCAAACATTTATTTGTATTTATTACACAAAGTTACATAAATTTAATAATTTTCTTTGGATTATTGATCTCTATTGTTGTACTGACCGAAACGTATTATAAGTAACAAAGTAATAAACAGAAGTAACATTGATAGATTCTAATTATTTTATTTAACATGAACATTTAACTTGGAGAACAATTAACGGAAGATCACTTTGTGACTGGACAACCTGTATCGTGTAACAACACTTTACTTTAAATGGACAGTTTTCAGCAAATTATGATAATACATATTATGAATTTGGTTAGTTTCTTATATATTTAATGAAGATTTATAGATCGAAATGTCGTACATTCGTCATAATCTTTACAATCAACTAATAATACGTTTTAACGCTTAAGCTAAATCAGTCTAATTCTTAAAGCGACAATAAAGTCTAACAGTAAAGCTTAAACGAATGCCGTCATCACACACTGGAAATTTATTATAAAAAAAATAATTATAAGGCCACTAGATTCATAACTGGAAGGTTAAATCATAAGATAACCAGTCTACAGTAAAAATTAGAGATTAAAACATTTACAATATAATTTTCATTTCGATTTATAACACAACGAAATTATTCTATGTTAATATGGCGTTTTGTTAAAATATACATATTATTAATTATTATTAAGCCAAAATTTTTCATCATTCGAGTAACAATATTCGAGCACATCATGACAACTTTTGTTCTGAACAAGGTTTAATTTGCAGTTTGAACATTACTAGATTACTATAGATTTAGCCGTGAACATAATAAACAATCAAAAATATAATTCAATTGTATATAATATAAATATGGGGTCACATCAACGTAGTCGGTACCCGAATATAAAAATAATTTAAAGCCTACAACAATATATCTACATAATAAATTTCTCAACCACATTCCATCGTATATCGTACGCATAAATAAGGCATTACAAACATATGATACGTTAACAGCGAAACTATTTAACATTAGCACGAGACATTTACATAATTACAATGTATATACAAACTGAATAGAACATAGCACGGGGTTAGAATATTAGTTCAAAGCCGCATTTCCCATAGTATCAGATGGGCGTCTTTAGGGTTTGGGTCAGCCGCTGGAGCGGGTCTCTCAGCGGCGTCAGCGGTCTGCCTCCAGTCAACGTAGCCCCTCCCCCCCACCACCGTCACCACCGACCGCCGGCTACCCTCGCCCACTATATAATCAGCACCGCGCAGGCTCCGACCGGCGGTCTTGTTTGTGCTCCGCAACTCGACGGCCGCGGACGAATCGCTCCTTGATATCGAACGCTCTGAAGCGCTTGATTTGCTTGATGATGAATCCGGCGTTGATACAGCCATTGGAACTAAGTTCGCTGCACCTGAAGCGCCTGAACTGTTTCTTGATACTCCACGTAACGCCATAGACTCCTCGCTGCCGGATGACGTGCATAGACTTGACGCTCGCGAATCTACCGACCAGCTGGATAGATCTAAACTCCTCGGCCGTCCCGCCCTCATCCTTAACCGTCTATCCAGTGTACTAACTCTGAACGGTATCGCGGCTAGTTCTGGGTCACTCCTCCTTAGCGACTCTCCGCCCGAGCCGCTGACGTCCGCTTCACCGACACAGTCTTTAACGAACATTAACTCTCCAAACAGTCCGTACACGTCACAGGCGTTTAAGTTGGCGCATTTAGGCAAAGTTTTGCTCAGTCGTACATCACCCGGTTTCTTTCTTCTTATAACAGCTGATTGGACCCGCTGCGGTCTATACGGACTCATCTCTTCTGATATCCGTCTCTCCAGCTTCTGTTTGTCTGATTCTTCTTTGGACTCGTTCTCCTTATACTCTACGTTCTCTGCGAGCGCTCGTACGTTGGATAGATTCCGTCTGACGGCGTTTACGTCCATTTCTCTCGATTCCGGCGTCAATGACAGCAGGAATGTAACGGGACCAGCGTGAGCGTGATACGACACGGCTATGTGTCCTCCTATCAGCGGGAGACCTTCCAATTTTGGTAACGGAACAGTAACAGTCACACCGGCCGTCGTTCCTACCCACAGTAACCCCTGACCCGCCAACAAAGCTGACACATAAGCCGGTTTACTGCCCTCCCTAGCTCCGATAGTTTTCGCGACATCAGCTGCTATATCAATATTCTGCAGATGCTCGAACGTCTCAGCGTGATATAAGCTAACGTATGTCGAATCAGAGAACGCCGCCCACAGTCCTACTCCGGAATGCGCTAGATATTTCACTGAACGGTCTCCTTCACCTTTTAGTTCCAGTATTCTCATGATTTCAGCTGTTAGTGCGTTGATGGCGAACACTCTTTTAGCGCAGGTCGCGTATATAATTCCGTCTACTGGTAATATACAGTGGACGGGCTTGTCTCCTAGCTCTACAGCCAGTGGTTCTTGTAGCGCCCACGAGTCGTCGTGGTTCCTCCTATACACAGACACTCTTCCATTCGCGAGTCCCACGAACATTGAGTCACAGTGATATTTGATCTGCGTCACGGCCGCGGTCGTCGTCACTTCAGTCAGTTTTTCTTGTTTCTCTGGTTCAACTCCTGAGAATATTATAATCTTCTTGTCCTCTGTACCGAGCCACACCGTGTCTCCGCACAACGTCGTCACATTCTGGAGACCTTTTGCGTATTCCATTGACGTTACCTGTAATTTAAAATTTAGACATTTATCACCTTGAAATAAAGCTTTAATTAAAAAAAAGTCCATTAATTAAACAAGACAAACAACGAATTTCTTGTAACTATTAGTTCTTACTAGAACCAATATTTTAGTATAACAAAATGAAACAAACTTTTTGTTATTTCTCATCCACAACTATTCTAGATCAGAATATTTAGCTATTAAAATATTTCTGTGAAGACGATTAACGACTTATATTCTAGTATGTAGTAATATTACAAACGTTTCACAATACTTCTATTTATCAACAAGGTAAATAAACCGGTTCAAAACTAGAAAAGAATGTGGCATTCAAAAATTTGACACCACACCTACACTATCCGTGTGCACTCACACAAATGCAAAGCTCAGCTTAAGTGTAACCGACTATACCAACGTCCAACATGGAAGGAAAAAAAGATATTTATTTAAATATCTCATTCCACTATTAATACAAATGTTGACAATATACCTAATGTTTGATGTCAATTAAGTCTATTCTGATGGAACATGAACCCAATGTGTTTAATACCTTAGTGTCGAGTTATTTAGACTTTATTCTGATCACCCAGTGTGTTAGTACCTTAGTGTCGGGTTATTTAGACTTTATTCTGATCACCTAGTGTGTTAAAACCTTAGTGTCGGGTTATTTAGACTTTATTCTGATCACCTAGTGTGTTAGTACCTCAGTGTCGGGTTATTTAGACTTTATTCTGATCACCTAGTGTGTTAAAACCTTAGTGTCGGGTTATTTAGACTTTATTCTGATCACCTAGTGTGTTAGTACCTCAGTGTCGGGTTATTTAGACTTTATTCTGATCACCTAGTGTGTTAAAACCTCAGTGTCGGGTTATTTAGACTTTATTCTGATCACCCAGTGTGTTAGTACCTTAGTGTCGGGTTATTTAGACTTTATTCTGATCACCTAGTGTGTTAAAACCTTAGTGTCGGGTTATTTAGACTTTATTCTGATCACCCAGTATGTTAGTACCTTAGTGTCGGGTTATTTAGACTTTATTCTGATCACCCAGTGTGTTAGTACCTTAGTGTCGGGTTATTTAGACTTTATTGTGATCACCTAGTGTGTTAAAACCTTAGTGTCGGGTTATTTAGACTTTATTCTGATCACCCAGTGTGTTAGTACCTCAGTGTCGGGTTATTTAGACTTTATTCTGATCACCTAGTGTGTTAAAACCTTAGTGTCGGGTTATTTAGACTTTATTCTGATCACCCAGTGTGTTAGTACCTTAGTGTCGGGTTATTTAGACTTTATTCTGATCACCCAGTGTGTTAGTACCTTATTGTCGGCTTATTTAGACTTTATTCTGATCACCTAGTGTGTTAAAACCTTAGTGTCAGGTTATTTAGACTTTATTCTGATCACCCAGTGTGTTAATACCTTAGTGTCGGGCAGGTCGAGCGTGACGAGCGTCTTCAGCTTGGCGGCCCGGTGTGTGAGCACGGCCACGTGACTGTCCGCGCCGCCCGCACACACCCACAGCAGGGCGCGCGATCGACGAGTGGCGGCGCCGCGAGCACTGCCCGACGACTGGTAGAAACAACCGCACCGCACCTGGACATACGGACATATACATATTGAATAAAGTTATGTAATTATTATTGAGGAATAAATATTAAATAGTTTATCTCACAATTTTCTTATGTTCAAGAAAGTTATACATATAAACCTTCAGACTTTATGATAATATGGTCTATGTTCTTCTTCTACCTGGCAATTTCACAGTTTTGGCTAGGGTCTGCCTTACATGTTGTGAATAGTTTTGGTTAATTGATTTTACGACCGGCTGATGCCTGACATCAACCCTCTTTGGGAATGCATTAATCAGAGATATCTAAATACTCTTAGAAAGTACATATGATTTGGAAAAATCACATAGGTACTTTGTCAGGTCCAGGATCGAACCCGCGCCCTCGTGCATGAGAGGCGGGACTTTTAAGCGCTAGGCCACCATTAACTTTACATACGTACATATTACATATTGAATAACTTATATCATTATTATTATGGAATAAATATTGAAAGGTTTATCTTACAATTTTCTTATGTTCCAGAAAGTTATACATAAATCTTTGTACTCTATGATCATTTGGTCTATGTATTTAGCTTTAGATTAGTTTTTTAAATCAATTTATTGAGAATTATAAATTATAGTAACAAAGCGTGATATATGTATTATTACTTACATATAAATCAAATAAAATCTATTAACATTACTTATACGCTACAAACATACACCAACACCATAGACCAAGAAAATTAATTTTTCAACCTATTCACACACACACACAAATACCGACAAACACAATCTAATCTCATAACTAAATAACAAATGTCAATCTGTTCACACACACGCACTCTAATACAGACAAACACACTCACACACACAACAACTATTTAACACACATCATCCTAAGCCCGAGCTATACCTCTGTGAGTTGATTGGAGCTGTACACAGTAGTCACCGTGATGAACAGACACCACAAAAATTAATTTCTCAATCTATTCACACACACGCACACTAATACAGACAGACACACTCACACACACAACAACTATATAACACACATAATCCTAAGCCCGAGCTATACCTCTGTGAGTTGATTGGAGCTGTACACAGTAGTCACCGTGACGAACAGACACCACAAAAATTAATTTCTCAATCTATTCACACACACGCATACTAATACAGACAAACACACTCACACCCACAACAACTATATAACACACATCATCCTAAGCCCGAGCTATACCTCTGTGAGTTGATTGGAGCTGTACACAGTAGTCACCGTGACGAACAGACACCACAAAAATTAATTTCTCAATCTATTCACACACACGCATACTAATACAGACAAACACACTCACACCCACAACAACTATATAACACACATCATCCTAAGCCCGAGCTATACCTCTGTGAGTTGATTGGAGCTGTACACAGTAGTCACCGTGACGAACAGACACCACAAAAATTAATTTCTCAATCTATTCACACACACGCATACTAATACAGACAAACACACTCACACCCACAACAACTATATAACACACATCATCCTAAGCCCGAGCTATACCTCTGTGAGTTGATTGGAGCTGTACACAGTAGTCACCGTGACGAACAGACACCACAAAAATTAATTTCTCAATCTATTCACACACACGCATACTAATACAGACAAACACACTCACACCCACAACAACTATATAACACACATCATCCTAAGCCCGAGCTATACCTCTGTGAGTTGATTGGAGCTGTACACAGTAGTCACCGTGACGAACAGACACCACAAAAATTAATTTCTCAATCTATTCACACACACGCATACTAATACAGACAAAACACACTCACACCCACAACAACTATATAACACACATCATCCTAAGCCCGAGCTATACCTCTGTGAGTTGATTGGAGCTGTACACAGTAGTCACCGTGATGAACAGACACCACAAAAATTAATTTCTCAATCTATTCACACACACGCATACTAATACAGACAAACACACTCACACCCACAACAACTATATAACACACATCATCCTAAGCCCGAGCTATACCTCTGTGAGTTGATTGGAGCTGTACACAGTAGTCACCGTGACGAACAGACACCACAAAAATTAATTTCTCAATCTATTCACACACACGCATACTAATACAGACAAACACACTCACACCCACAACAACTATATAACACACATCATCCTAAGCCCGAGCTATACCTCTGTGAGTTGATTGGAGCTGTACACAGTAGTCACCGTGATGAACAGACACCACAAAAATTAATTTCTCAATCTATTCACACACACGCATACTAATACAGACAAACACACTCACACCCACAACAACTATATAACACACATCATCCTAAGCCCGAGCTATACCTCTGTGAGTTGATTGGAGCTGTACACAGTAGTCACCGTGACGAACAGACACCACAAAAATTAATTTCTCAATCTATTCACACACACGCATACTAATACAGACAAACACACTCACACCCACAACAACTATATAACACACATCATCCTAAGCCCGAGCTATACCTCTGTGAGTTGATTGGAGCTGTACACAGTAGTCACCGTGATGAACAGACACCACAAAAATTAATTTCTCAATCTATTCACACACACGCACACACACACAACTATATAACACACGTCATCCCAAGCCCATACCTCAGTGAGTTGATTTGAGCTGTACACAGTAGTCGCAGTGACGAACAGCGGCATCTTATGAGGCGGTGAGTGTGGAGCGGGCGGTGGTAGTCTCCATGAAGGACAGTTAGCTCTGTCTTGAGCGAGTTGCGCCAGTCGTAGTTCCGTGGCCCAAGCTCGCCTCGCGCCCGGCTCGTTGGCTTGAAACGTGATCGCTTCTTCACGACCTCTTATAGTCAGTTGGAGACAGCACGAGTCGACCCATGACATTTCGTCGTCTTTTTTCTGGAAATAAATTAGTTTTCATTGGATTAGTATGTAATCAGTTTGTTATTTTTATTATGTGTTTTCAAAATTTCTTAAGTTAAATCTATAAGAAGTTTGTTATTATGTATCTTCTTCTTCTTCTACCTGGCAATTTCCCAGCTATAGCCAGGGTATGCCTTTCATGTTGTGAATAGTTTTTGGCTATTTGTTTTTACGACCGGCCGCCTGCCTGACATCAACCCTCTTTTGGGAATCAACATTAATCAGTGATGTCTAAATACTCTTAGAAAGTACATATGATTCGGAAAAATCACATAGGTACTTTGTCAGGTCCAGGATCGAACCCGCGCCCTCGTGCATGAGAGGCGGGACTTTTAAGCGCTAGGCCACCACTAACTTTACATACGTACATATTACATATTGAATAACTTATATCATTATTATTATGGAATAAATATTGAAACGTTTATCTTACAATTTTCTTATGTTCCAGAAAGTTATACATAAATCTTTGTACTCTATGATCATTTGGTCTATGTATTTAGCTTTAGATTAGTTTTTTAAATCAATGTATTGAGAATAATAAATTATAGTAACAAAGCGTGATATATGTATTATTACTTACATATAAATCAAATAAAATCTATTAACATTACTTATACGCTACAAACATACACCAACACCATAGACCAAGAAAATTATTTTTTCAACCTATTCACACACACACACACAAATACCGACAAACACAATCTAATCTCATAACTAAATAACAAATGTCAATCTGTTCACACACACGCACACTAATACAGACAAACACACTCACACACACAACAACTATATAACACTGCCTGACATCAACCCTCTTTTGGGAGTCAACATTAATCAGTGATGTCTAAATACTCTTAGAAAGTACATATGATTCGGAAAAAGTTTGTTATTATGTATGTATTTTCAAAATTGAACCGCTGAACTTGTATAGTAATTAAAATAAATAAGTTTTTTATTGGATCAGTTAATTATATATGGGACGTTTTTTAAATTTCTATCACTGAACTTCTATAGTAATGGAAATAAATAAGTTTTTATTTGATCTGTCCGTTATATGTATTATACGTTTTTTTTTCTAATTTCTATAACTGAACTCCTATAGTAATCGAAATAAATAAGTTTTTTATTTGATGAATTCGTTTTGTATTGAATGTTGTGTAAATTTATATTTCTGAATGTTTATAGTAATGAATTGACTATTATTATACAGGGTGATTGGTGAATTACTATCGATATTTGAGGACGTGATATTTGACGATCATATATGACAAAATAAAAATTAATATAACATAAATATTAATAAACTTCTAAGTAAAGTTAACCAAAAGTTATGTAATTAATTACGCATCGTGTAAACACCCTACAGATTAGGTATACACATACACACACACACTCGCGCGCGGCGGCGTGTTGTTGTATCAGCACGCCGCCGCACGCGTCCACACTTGGAACACTTGGAACGTGTACACACTTTATTTATTTATACGGAAATTTAGTCAAAAATTAAGTACCTATTTTTTTTACATAATTCGAATGAGAATCATGTACCGAGTATGCTCCTTAAATATTGATAGTAATTCACCAATCACCCTGTATATTCAAGATCTACGAAATACTAATTTTTATAAGGAATAGTTATAAATGAATAAGAGTCAAAATGAGACTTCCAAACTTGTGGTTATGTATGAAACCAATCAATACTTAATTGAAGACAATTTGTTTACAACCAGTTACATAAAACGTTACAAAACAACTAACTACCAGTCATAAATCGTCTTTTATCCCAAAAACCTCGCAATTTCTAATTGTTTCACATTAATCATTATTTAATATCGTCAATCGATATGAATCGCTTTCAATTGCTAACAGATAGTAAGAATTAATATAAATATATTCTCACCTGTATACTCTGCTGTATGTTCTGTAATAGGGCCTTGAATGTTTCTGGGGCGACTTCTGGGTATGGAGTCTTAAGTGATGCTGCGAGGTCCGCCATCCTTGAAACAGTTTCGTAGTCGTGCATCAGAGATGACATCTCGTTACAGAGAGACTCGCCCGTTGAACTCGACGAATTTGAACGAAGACTGCCGTTACGATTGACGCCTGTTGGAAAAATAGATATATTTTATTATTCTCATACGTTATAAATAAATATATAATATAAAATAGATATACTTAACGCCTGTAGAGAGAAAATACTTATTTTTTCTTTATATGTAAAATATATGTAAGAATTTAAGTATGGAATACTTTGAAATATATGGAAAGAGGCTAGTTAAGTTTATGAAAGATAGAATGTATGAAAAAACTGAGCATACCTTGAGCAAGTACCCGACTTAGCGTCGGCCATGTTCCTGTATCTAGAACCTCAACGTCCTGTACAGGGTAGGCCCACTTCAGACTCAGCCGCTCGGTGTCATCACCGCCGGCCCCCACAGACACGCATACCACGAGGTCGTTGAGTAACAACAGGCGACGCGGCTTGCGTTTAGTCAGAGTTCCAGATTGGTTGAATTCCTACGATACATTTATATTTTCAATTTAAAGTGCAAAATTGACCTAACTTTAATTTTAGTAGTTATTATAACAAATTTACCGTTACTAGCATTTATACAACTACATCATACTGTCAAATTTTCTAAATTTATAATATTAATATAAATATATAACGCTAACTGAAAATAAAACAATTAACAAAAACTTAAGATGTATGACGTATGTTTAGAACAATTTTTAATCTCTATATAATCTTTCAGTAAACCATTCAGTATTAAAGACGAGCGAAGATATACATGTCAATTTAATTTGGCCTTATAACAAACCAAGTCAATAACCTCAATAGCTCAATTAAAATATAAATTACTATAGCATTCTATCAGGCCTTACAACAAACCAAGTCAATAGCTCAATTCAGATCTAAATTACTATAGTATTCCATCATATCTAAGTCAACTATATCCCACCAGTTGCAGCAGGTCGTCTTGTCGGAGCAGGTGTCGTTTATCAGCCCTGGCCGCCAGTAGTCGCGCCGCTCCAAACCTGGCAGCTCCGCCGGCAGCCCCGCCAGCCGCGCCCGCCACACCCCCACGGGTCAGGCGACGTAACGCCGCACGGAACGCCTACAAACAAGTATATAATTATATTAAACTACCTTCCTTAAAAAATTTGATGTTATTGTGTTTACAAGTTTAATGTTTGTATGTTAGCGTTTAACGGTATTTCAATTAACTTTATCAATGATATAAGTGATTTTTACGAATAATAGATGCCTTTATATGAAGTTTTTTATATATGTAAATATATTTCTTATACAGGGTGACTGGTGAATTACTATCAATATTTAAGGAGAATACTCGGTACATGATTCTCATCCGAATTATGTAAAAAAAATAGGTACTTAATTTTTGACCAAATTTCTGTATAAATAAATAAAGTGTGGACACGTTCCAAGTGTTCCAAGTGTGGACGCGTGCGGCGGCGTGCTGATACAACACCACGCCGCCGCGCGCGAGTGTGTGTGTGTGTGTGTGTGCGCGTGTGTGTATGTGTGTGTGTGTGTATACCTAATCTGTAGGGTGTTCACACGATGCGTAAATAATTACATAACTTTTGGTTAACTTTACTTAGAAGTTTGTTAATATTTATGTTATATTAATTTTTATTTTGTCATATATAATCGTCAAATATCACGTCCTCAAGTATCGATAGTAATTCACCAGTCACCCTGTATATTTAAGTTACTTATAATCAGTTATATTTAAGTTACTTATAATCAGTTACCGTCACATAGTCATAAAGTTTCAGTATCTACATTTTCAATAACTTCTAGATGTTTATGTATGTATATACATATGTATGTTTGTCTTCACGTTACCTGTATCCTCTCAGCGTCTCGTTTTCTTTCATTCAGAGCTTCAGCCATAGCCTCAAGTCTGGTCAAAGCTCGTTGTAACGCGACACGATCTGAATGACCCGGCGGAGTGTGCTTCAATAGATCCTGGAATTATTGTTATCAAATATATTTACTTATATACAATACAAAAAATATAGTTCTATATCGGTAAACAAAATTGAACTCTTAGTTTTAGTACATTAGGTTTAAAATTATTTTCATTTTTAATTGAAATTTATTTGACATTATTAGTACTGTACTTGAACATAAATTACAATTTTTATATTAAATCGGTTGCATTTCTTAATATGGACAGTGTTATCACTATCGAATTTTACATTATCACTTATAGCCTATTAAAATAACTTCATAAAACTTAAGAAATGCATATAAAATTGCAGTTTAATAGTTATTGATTAACAAACAAACATACATAGTGATAAAAAATAAAACTACCTGCAAGAACATAATGAACTGCGGGAATCTCTGTACAGGTTTAACCATCAAGCCGAAGAAGGACAGCCTGTCGTGAGCGCTGATCTGTTTCACTTTCAAGAAATCAGCCAACGCAGATTTTCTCTTGGACTCCATTTTCGCTAATTCCATGGCTACTGAGAAATTATTTATAAAATCCGAGTATACATCCAACACCACCGCTTTAGAGAACGCGTTGAGAAACACCTCGCCTGGAACGTGATAAATACTGAAATAGTTACACAACATATTCAATAATATATATTAATATACTTGACCATATAAAACAGTAACATTTTTTAAACTATCAAACCAAGTATGGTGTTGAATAATCTAGTATTTTTCTTATACGTAATATTTATGGAAAACATAGACATGGATATTTATGCATGCATATTATGCATGTGCATTTAATTATTACGTATTATTACATGTAACAATTAACGGTACATAATAGTATGAAATATGTTAGATATTCAATAATTACTATGTAAGAAATATTTTTATACTCTTCGAATGTTCAGTGAGGTGAATTCTACCCTATATGTAAGAATAATAATTAATATCTATGTACATTGTATTGTATGATATATGGAATATATTCGATTCAAACCAGTATATAACGAGACTGAATAATACACACTTATTATACGCAGCTTCGCCCGCGTTGAGTTCGGTTATATCGCGTTTACAAGAGAACCTTTCAAAACTCTGGGATAAAAACTATCCTATGTTCTTTCTCAAGATCAACTCTATCTGTACCAAATTTCATTAAAATCAGTTCAGTGGTTTAGGCGTGCAAGCGTAACAGACAGACAGACAGAGTTACTTTCGCATTTATAATATTAGTAGGGATATATTTTTTATATATGTACTTACCAATTTTTTCATCGCGGTCCCATGTTCTAGCGCAGTCTGCGAGCGCGGTGCGGAAATGTAAGTGACATTGTAGTATATCAGGTAGTCTGTGGAACAATGTTGATATCTTGCCAGCGTTCAGGATGGCTGGACTGCTCTCCTCTAAAGGCTTCTTGTAGTCCTATCACGATAATTAGTACATAATTAACTTTAAAGTATCATTATATAATGTTAGTTCTATATATTTAGTAAACACTTTATTTGTAATTACGATTTATATTTAGAGGTAAGTCTATAGATTTATATTAAATTTTAGACTCTTGTTTAGGATTTTAATTTATAAATTTATGTTAGTAAACCTATAATTCTATTGTATATAATAAATAAACATTCATCTGATATATACATACAATACGAGATAAAACGCAATAAAACATCTCATTTAATAACAGATGCGTCATCTCTTAGAATATCTAACGTGTGTACAGACTGTGAAAACATTAGCACTTGACGCTACCTAACAACGTCGCTAGATAAACTAAAGTAACACGAATTAGAGACTTTGAACCCACAACAATTACATTTCATTGAGATATATCATGATATAAAAACTTCAGTCAGTCGAAAACTAAGTTTTTTTCAATCATAAAATACATAATCAAGCTTGTTGCTCTAAAAACTCTATTAATACGAAGATTATAAAACTTGAACAGATAAATAATTTTCAAGGCTATATTATAAATGTGATTTATCTTTTATTTATAATTCGACTTTAAATTTATACTAATGTTATTCAAACGGGCTGTTTGATTCAAAATCGAGCGTGCTTTTCATGACATTGCGAGTGATAAATTGCGACCGTTTTGGAGAACAAATTATATAAAAGATATAGGAAGAAGGAAACGTATTAACATTGTGAGCACAAATCGGCTATTAGATCAAATGACCACCAACAAAGATGTTTAAATAGGCGCCGTTTGGTATATTTCGACCTCGGAAAGTCCCATTAAAACTGTTCCACTTCCTAATATGCAAATATAGAATTCTATGACAATGACACGAGACGCACGTATTAGAAAATATTAACATATATTCTGTACAATTCTTGAAAGGATCCAACAGACGTCTGCTAACAATGGAAATAGAAAATTTTGTATAAACTAAACGAAAGCGTTACATTCATATAAATATACAAGTAAAACGAGAGAAAAGTACGAGAAAGTATGAAGCAAGAAAAAAAAATACATTATTAACCTTTTAATATTTTGACATATAAATAGTTATCGAAAGATACCGAGCCATAAAAAATATATCGTGAAATTTTATCGATCAATTAGAATACCTTTCACTGGCTGGTAATATTGTTATGTAATGTGAATACAGAAGGCCGTCGCAGTAAGTAATAGTACTAATCTCATTAATGAACATTGGATTAAAGTGTCAGCCGGAGAGTTTATAAAGCGGCCTGTCAAGTCACGCCTCCGTAGTAATAGAAAAAGTTGATATTTATTTGCATCGATTCACTTCAAGTGTTACGCAATACGTTATCAATGTATTCAACATCAATTATAATGGCCAACAATTCCTGTTTCACTTAAATTATTGACGATATGTCAATTTTGGTTGTAAGTACTTTCTCTTGTGAGAAACTAAAATGATATAGTCGAAATAGTTTTATTTCTTTGACTATGTACATACGAGAATAAGTATACACTCGTTTTGTCTAATAAACCAGATTTTACGCAATGACATTATTTGTGTACGTTTAATATAAATTTTATTTTGTAATCGTACAATAAAATAACGCTTTAATAGTTCTGTATAGCCCAAATAATTGTAACTTATAGCGCTGTGACGTCAGAAGCTTAGATTTTATTGCAATAGTCAACGAATCCTATTACGAGATGCTGTATTTTGTAACAACTCTGTCTCAGTATAATTGTAAGGTACCTAATTTTGATTTTATATGTTACTTTACCTTGATGTTTTCACCATTAATTATATTTGTATACAAATATAACAGGTCCATGTTAATTCTGTACCTGTTAGCGGTAACATTGACAGAGTTACAAGTGACATTGGTTGCGCAAAACAAACATTCGTTACAGCCTTCGAGAGATCGAACGTTATTAAAATGCAATTAATTCTCGTTATGATGAAAAAAAAATCTAATTAATTTTTCACGTCCATGAAAATTATTTATAGATTTATATTAAAATAATATTTTGAATATAATTCTACGATGTGATTGCTAATACGAGGATTTATAACTCAAGCATAAATTTAAATTAATTAGTACAACAAAAAAACGCATCGTACAATTAATGAGCCAAATTCAATTAAGCCATAGTACTAGTAAGCAATTGTTAACATACGTTTATTAATCAACACAATACTTACAGTTTAAAAGTTATTATGACAATAAAAATATTATATAAATATCAAGATTTCAAGCATTTTGTTTACAACTTAATAACGTTAGCAATAAAGTTTTATTTCGATAAAATCGTAAAAAGTGCTTATAATACGATATAAGACAGAAGTTATTTTACTATATATAAGATATTATAGTTACTATCTGTTAAAAACCGTTAATGTTTATATATTAAGTCATTATTTTTGTTCTCGTCTTGAACATAAACTATGTTCTAAAAAAGACTGTCTTTTATCGAGAAAACTATAAACTAAACAATTTATAGAGACCTGTAGTAAAGTATAAAGTTAAAACCACACTATGATTACAATAGTTTTGATTGTTTAATAATAAATAGATATTTATTGCTAACATAATTTACAGTTTAAACTGCTTTATTATTCTCTAAAGTCTATATAATAGAATAATGAATAATGCAATCACAAATACTGTTATTTTGATATTTAGACGGGGTATATTTAAATCATAATTTTGTGGTCGAGGCCTTAACTAAACTCTTTAAATTTCTATATTATCATGGAAATATAAGCCTATGTCGCTTATACGCATACATACAGACGTTCTTACGCACAGTAAATAAGAAACAAGGAAGACATCGATGTAAAGTACAAGAATTTATTCTATAATACTCATAATTAGAATAGCTGTATAATACAATCTGTCATGACTAAGCCCAATTACAGAAACCAGCTAGGTTTCTCACGGTAACAAGTATTATAATTTATCGCTGATTTATCTGTAATCTTTTTGTTGTCGAAGGTTCTTACGCATTACTTGACAATGATAGTTGCTGTCGGTACACAATGCATAACAATATGATGGTCATAGAAAAAAATCACACGAATCATAAACTGAATAATATGTGAGATAGAATTGAACCTGCAACTAATGTAACTACCGCCGCTGTTACCACTGAGCTATAGCGTCATAGGATGTTTGAAGTGACTTACATTTATAAGCCTTTGTAGTGTAGCTACGTATGAGTTCTCGCTGTGTATGATAGCGGCTACCACATGCCGTCTTCTTAGCTGGACTGGTGTGAGGGAGTCAGGAGGAGGGCCCAAGGAGGGTGGTGGGACTCTACCACCGCGGACCTCACCACCGCAGGAGAACATATCCTCCTCGAGCTATAAAGAAAAGAAAGATAAAGATATTTATTTTCGCTACTGCATTTCTACAAGTAATACATCTAATTATTGGTAGATTTACTTCATACTTGTAATTGAAATTAAAAGAAAACAAATTGTAATGACTGTTAAGTATAAAACAAGGAACTGTATTTAATATAAAAGAATAACTAGCTGTTAACATCTGATATAAATATGACGCAGTACTCTACTTCATATAAATTACAAATTAGCTAATGTAACTTTTCCGGAGATTGTTGTATCAGGTGTTTGACTTTTTCATAAGATTTCAACAAAATGTATGTAGGAAAAGTTGGGCAACGATAGTTTTCTCTTAGCCATATAAACAGACAAACCGAGAACATCATAATTTACTTCTAAAATTTTTGGATGTAGTGTACTGATAGTCTTTTGTTTGTGACAGGTTTATACGATTTTGAGAACAAAAATTTATCGTTCTAGATTCCTTTGATTCAAATCTGTATTTAAATATTTGAACATAATTTATAATAAATTTGAAAGCTCGTTAGTTCGTTACAAGAAAACAATCAACAAGGTCACACATCATCTTTGATACAGAAAACCAGTTGCATAAGAACATAAAAAAATGTATTAGAAAAAACCAACATCGTCTAAAAGCAAAAAAGTTGTTTATAAACGTTAAAACTGTTGTCGTCATAACTATGAGAACAAAGGCTTTTTTATTTGTGTATTATAATTTTATTCAGTAATAATTTATTATACGTTTAAAAGACGAATATTTTTAAGGAAAACATTCGTATGTACGAATGACGTGAAATTGTGCAGTCTTAAAATTGTAATGTCCATTTTCCGTATTACATGTTTAGTGTGAAACAAGTACTAGTAAATGCTATGAATTCGATACATAGATATTGGAGACATTGTCCAGATGATGAGGTTACGTTCGTGCGTATATATCTGTGTACATCTAGCGTGAAAATGTGATGAAAATTTAGTTCGAGACCGTGGAATCGTGCATATATAGTTATACATGAAATGAAATGGCGCGATCACGTCACTGTTTATACATGCACGATACGAAACGGTTTGATTGCGATACAAACAGTACATTTAACATGAGTTTTAATCAATGTAAAACTATCAAGGTCAAAACAACCGTTAACACATTGATCTATTGTTATTCATTCGTTTGATATAAAGAACTCAGAGCTGACTTCTTTAAACACATACTAAAAGCACAGGATGTTGTAAGCGTAAGTCATAAACGTCAAAAGCCCAAACCGCGCCCGTCACCACGTGACTTACGTATACATCGAGAACTGCCATTGAATAGTTGGCTCTATCACGAAGAACTTTGACACAGAACATGTTCATACATCAACCGATACGATGCTCAGATAATATATAGAACAATATAAAGAAAAACACTCCTGACATTTACGAATAACACGTTACTCATGCCGTCACACTAAAAATATACTGAGTAGAATAAAAAAGAACATTTATTACAATAGTGAACATCAGTCGACGGCTGACTGTTGCACGGAGATCGCACATTATATCACATGTTTAAATAGATTATTTATTTAACAGACTTGTATGTACATGCTCATGAGGATACGGTGTTACTGAGGTTTGTTGACGACCGGCGAGACTATCGAGCGTCCGAACGTGAATCATACAGTATAAATGTGATTCATATACGCTATATATTTAATAATTGTACGGCAGGAGCCATCAGAAACAAAGATGGCGAACACACCAATGAATGACGTCCGTTAATTCCAGAAATTATTAACAACAGGATGTCAATGACCAATATAGTTTTTGATAATTCAGGTCGCTTTAATATCAGTGATCAAATTGTATTAAATGCTCCAATTAAATTATTACGATGGGCGTGTTAACATTTAAGGGCACTCCTTAAAACAAATGACAATTACTGAAAGGGGAAACGAATTTAAGAAATTAAACAATAGCGAAACGATATAAATCACTAGTAAGTGAATTAATTATCATTATTACATTCATTTTTTATAATGTAATTTAAATTCTGAGACAATAAAAGGGCAAACTTGAAGAATGTTGCTATAGGACAGCATGTTTAGTATCCTGTTACGACCATTTGCCGCTGTCAGAATGCCGGACCTAAACCGGATTTGCATACAAAATATTTATTGCACATTCTATTGCTTTATTGGTGAGAAGAATGCACTGTTGTACTGAATGGTTATTACAATAGTTCATTATTAACTTTATTAACGCTGTTTCGTTTTTACAAGCTCGTTGTGAGTAAATGTTTATAGCCGATGGACGACATTAATGAGTTATGAGATATGTTCAATGGCATTCCAAAAATAATACTGACGTTGAAATTCTAACATATTCTATATGTAACCGACATGGCTACAAACCGTTTAGATATGGATCAAGTGTAACCAAGGACAAGATTTCGATTAAACTAGACAGCGAAACGAAACGGTTGGCAATTAAAACGAGGTCCATAAATTTGGCTAACCGATAAAATACATGTAGATCGATCCGCATTATAATTAACTGTTATACATACAAATAAATTATACCTGCTCATTTTACTGATTAAATACAAAAAAATATAAACGAAAAAAAATAATTTTCAACATTATTACTCTATTCATAGCAATTGATTATATTCTCATATTCATAATCCATTCATATTGCCGACTAACCTCTGGTAACTTGGGCATCTTATCCGTTTCGTGTGTCTGCATGTCATAGTGATGCGAGGTCCCTCTCCTAACGCTGAACCACCTCGCCAGACGCCCTCCCCCCTCGTCATCGGGGGCTGGAGTGGGGGGAGATGGACTCGAACCCCCATTACGCCATCGCTCACACAACTCGCGAGCACGGCTCAATGTGTTACGAAGCTGGCCGGTGCTCCTGGAACAATCAGGTTTTAGGTTAAAGAGATATCGTTATGACAAACATGCACTTAGAATAGAGACTTTCATTAAGATATTAAGCCAGTTTTTCATGAGTTTGGAAGATTTTTAATCCATTTTGGATACATTGATTCCTGCACAAAGTATATAAAAATCAATTACTTACTACCTTTTGTACTGTTCGTCCCTAGTAGTGGATAGAATTATTATTTTAGTACAGGATATATATTCTATACAAACCGTATACATTTTTTAAGTATTCTGACATATGAAGTTTTAATTATGAACAAAAGAATTTTTCATACAATATATTTTTTATCGATGTACTAATTAGTTACCACAAACGCTATAATTGTTTTAATACATCGTTATCATTGACTCAATCGACTTTAATTAACAGCACTATTGAGAGGATGCTGGCAATTATTTGATGCGGAAGATCAATTTAGTAAAAAAAGATTACAGAGCCATATTTGAGTTAGAGAAAATATATAGAAACTAGGGTGAAAACTTTTGAAAGTTTGAAAAGTATATATATTATTAACACTCTTGTTTCCTTCTGAAGGTGCGTAAGTCTATTATCTATATCTTAAAAATATTAACAAATACAAAAGAATTTACATTTTTCTGCGTTTGTAACATAACTTAAACACAATTTTTGTCTTCATAAAGTTTTCAAAACCGATGCACTTTAAAACAGCCTCCGTATTTCTGAGTAACGTAAAAAATTCAGTGTCACCGCAAAATTGAGTACAAAGGTCCGAATATCAGAAGCGCTGTGCATCGACGCTTGAGAATATTAGATTAAATGTCAGACATATAAATGATAGCGTCATCTAAACAGCAATTGAACTCAATGTTTGCAAATACAACGACTTATTGACAAATCGATCAACATATAACGACAATGGATCAATTACTTTGACATAATACTAAACAAAGAAACAGTCGAAGGCTGAAACGACAATAAACATTTAAATCTTCACAATGTGATTGTTAACAATTATAAATCTTTATAAGCGTCTCACAATTGTGGTTCTCACATTGAAGTCACATACAAGCGATTTAATAAACTTATCAGAGGTATATTTAAGGAGCGCTTTTTTCCCGCTATATAAATCCATTTTCATTTAAAGTTCTCAGAATAAGCATAACCATTTATACTGAAGTATAATTTCAGCCAAAGAAAATGTGACCTCTTTTAACCGCTACACGAGAGACACTTCATATCGACATCTATACGAAGAAGCCTTTGAAAACTGTTCAAAAAGTTCAGACTGGATTATTTCAGTAGCTTTAAGATTCGAAACTATTCACTACAATAAAATTACATAACTATTTCTGATATTAAAATCAAGAAAGTATGGAACTTATGAATTATTTATTCAATTCCACCTTGTAAGGCGCGAATTCATATAGTCAGCTGAGCGTCTATAAACTACGTGTTATTCTAGCCATCAAAGCATTACGTAACCAGTGATTTATTGCAGATTGTCTTTAGCTCATATTTTATTATACATAACCTTTGACTTTGAGGATATTTATTAATATTTTTTTCCTAGTTATAAGACGTATATAAATAGTTGAACAGAAAATATTATATTAATATCATTTTATAAGATGATTTAAATATCGCTATGCCGTCAAGTGACACTTCTATGAAATACGTATTTTATTTGTAGATCATCATTCTTTCTTGGAATTTTCAAGAAACATAAAAAGTTATAATGTCTTTATTTTTCTATAACAATGCTAGTCTAATTCTAACCCAATACGTATAATATTTCCTTACTTAACAATCCATTGTTAGCGACATTCACGAATGTTCAAATTTGTTGTTTCGCAAGAGCTATATGATATTTATAACATTTATGTCACTTTCTATTGTTACAGCGATATAAACATACAGTTATAACATTACGATGTGGTGTTGATTGCTGTAAGTTTAATAAATATTGCATGTTTTGTTAGAACCTTGAGAATAAATCTACCAAGTGGTGTTAAACGCCCACGTTGGTCGGTTGTCACAAAGATTGGTAAATCACAGAAGCTATGTCACAACTACGATGCTATTATGTTTAACAGCTGCATCTAAACCTTTATATTTATTCAAATTAATATACGAATAATGGGTGATAAATACTTATGAAAGACGACGCTCTGTCTGTCTGCTCGTCACTTTATCTACTTGACCTGTAGCTTCTGACACGAAATACAATAATATCAGTGATGTATGTTCCTTTGTACATAATTATTAACAAAATTTTCATAACTATATTCTATTACATGTGAACTTTGAGTCTTAAAATATTTTGACAAAATATTGTCGTAAAAATATGAAATTTATTATTAATTAAAATACAATGTACCTAGTTTTGTAAGTTGATTATCATTTTATTTTTTATTACTTTTCAAGGAAGCTGATTGGAGATTTTGTTATTGTATCGTAATATAATTAATCTCGCCTAGAAAAAACGTGTTTTCAATATGATATATATGATATATGTATATATAAAGAGGAATCAAAGTTTTATTTCTTAGGGTTTAAGATAACTTTTGACCTGTCCCATACACGGACACGAGTTATCATAACTACTTCTGGTGATAAGTAGTCACATTGAAAATTAGTTTTACATCTATACTTATCATTCTCTTTTATTCCAATTTAGCTATTACAATATAGGTATGGTTATTATTTATTGTCCTTTGACAATTTCTATTGATGATAATATGTAGAATATAAATATCACCTAAGTGCACAGAAAAAAAAAACAAAATCTTAAAAGATTGACGAAGATCAAAGAGGTTTTAAATAAGTTTAATTGGCAAAAAATAACCATTTAAACCTCCATTGTCTGTGGGTGAAGTCATTAAAACAATGTTGAAGCATCATGTACTATTAAAACCTACTTTATATATATGTAAATAACCTCAAAACAAATGACAATAGGGGCCAGAATAATTGCCCCATACTTAGAACATTAGCTTTAATGCAAATTAGTTGTTAGATCCTTGACATTATTTAATACCAACTTAATGTCAAGAAAATATAAGTCATTTACATAATAAATACTTAAGATATATACAAATATATGGAAAATATAAATAAGATCATAATAACAGTAGATTGATTTAAACTGTTTTATATTAATAATAGCCTTTTTAAAACCATCAATAATTAATACATATATCAATGAACGTTTAATCAAAGTTAAAATTATTTTAAGAATCTTCATTCATTTATCTTTGACAAGCATATCGACCATGTAAATGATCATTCATTTTAATTTGCTTGTCTGTGTTTGTTCCCGCTAATTTCTGAAATGGCTAAACCGATTTTGACGGGACTTTTATTAGCATGTTGCTGATGTAATAAGAAGAAACTAAAGCTTCTTTTTATCCCGATGCCGAAACCTGACATTAAGCATTGTCACACGCGAATGGAAGGCGGGGCGCATGCGGCGCTAAGTTTTTTTATTTTTTAAGCAGACGGTGCCACGGGTACTAAGTAGTATATATTTATTAATCAGTTATAAATTAGGATGGGAATTTTTCCATCATTTGTGTAAATAATTGTATGCAATGACCTATCATTTGTATGGAGATTATAAGACGATGTGAGAAAAATTTGTATCGTGAGAGTATAGCTCCCGTTCTTTGCGAAACTGTTTATATTTTTTTCATCATTTCATAAGTCATAACAGTAACCATACTGAAAATATGAAGACATTATTTTGCCAAATGATAGTATGAATGAAATTTATTGTGACTATTACGATACATAAAAATAAATACACTTTTGTATTATAGGTAATTCAAAGAAAGTACTATGATGTTCCAAAGGGAATTTTAATTCCCAGTTTTTTTAAGGATTAAATTGAGTGTGGGCATATATTTTTAAACATACCAGCATTCTTTACAAGTCTATTGCAAACACCAAAAACTATCACTTGCAGATGTCACAAAATACTATTAGCACGTTAGTAGTGAAGAGATAAGATAAAAAATATCACACCTTTCCACTTCCTTCATTTCGCTTGGTATCCGATATAAAGTATTAAAGCTTTCTAAAAGAATGTATGTCAATAACGTCACTGGTTCAGAATTTTGACATATAATGCGTTTTATGAGTCAACTTAGAAAGCGAATGCGGGTATACTACTTTTATGGTAAATGGGACCCGCGTTGTGGGGGCGCTAACTTCTGGCACGTGCAGCGATATAAACACAAATAGTTTTATATGAAAACAACAAACAAGCTATATGTTATACTGATTTATTTACCAGAGACTAATTTATAAGCATACATCAGAATAATAATTTCTTGTTATTTAAGTTGTATAACGATGATTTCAGATCAAAATGACTATAGTTAAACGGTCAATGAGAGGCAGTGGCCTATAGTGGCCCCAGGAACACAGGAAATTTGTGTTAATTGGGTACGCGTCGACGCTAATTGCAGGGCGACGAGACAACACCACAACAAGGAAGTCCTATATAAACTATAAACAGCTAGTATATAACCAATATACTGACATAATGCAAGTCATTATAATTTTTAATATAATCTGTGGCATTTCTTTACGAGCAATCCTGTTTAATTCTCAAAACAGTAGAATAATTTTATAATAAAAAAACACTATATTAAATATCAGAGACAGTTGTAAATAAAATAATAATGAAAATTTCGCTACAAATTGCACTTAATATAATAAAAAAATTAAGTGTTTAGAAATTGAGTCACTTTAGCTCCCCCATTCAAACGAATTGGTTCTAATTTCGGAATAGACATCAATCATACTTAGAAAAGACAGCCCGAACCTATTTCCTTCGTTTAAAGCAATACCAATGCAGTGGGTAGTGCATTATATTGCTCTGTTTTATTTAACGTCTATTGCATTGTCTATGTGTGGTTGCTATTGACCTGACTGATTATATTTACAGCTGCAACATGGGAACCATTCAACGTTGGAACATATCTCACACACACACGCACACACACGCACACACACACACACACGCACACACACACACACACACACATAATAACTTCAACTTATAAAGAAGACGTCATATATTCTAAATTTCAGGAATTACAGTATTGAACCACACCTTTAGATTGTTATGTATAAGTAACAATTCATAACATTAGTGTAATTCCATATAAGGCATATGTTTGAGTAAGATCAAAGCTAGTGTGTATAGAAAAAATTCTTACCTGGAATCCAACGTGGAGTTTAGACGTTGGGATCGTCTTAGCGGTGTGTTTCTAACAGCACTGACCGGCTCCTCCCAGCTGCCGCCCGCCGACCGGTGCTCATCTGGAAAAAGTGCTCATTTGCTTCAATAATACATACATATATACTTACTACTGTGATAGTATACCTATATACTAACCACATCAAGCTGGATGTAACTTTGGCTAATTGAATCTCGAATCAGAGTACACGATCAAGCGTGAATTTAATAAGATCTAAGACTCGCGAGTTTTATTCATCAAAATGAAACTAATACTTATAGTTTCGAATCGAAAATCCAAATTCGAAGAAGACATTACATGCCTTGAAACCAAAAATATTATGAAAAATATACAAATGCAGAAATGACTAAAAGTAAGCATAGGATTATTTTATGTAATAGTAGAAAAATTACACGCAACGCATCTACATCTACTCGTGATATTGTTATCATAAACATGATTGATTATAGTTCATTTACATTCCGGAATTATCTATAAAGATGCACATGCATGCCATCTAATCATGCCTTCTAAATCTAAAGTCAAAATAATTATTGTTGCATGCATGTTATGACTTACACTGGTGTATATTCCTCAAACTCCTTTCATACGTGGGAAATAAGAAAAAATATTATTATTAAAAATTTTATATAGATTATATTATTTATATGTATAAAATAAGTTGAATAAAATTTAGGAATAGGTATTTAATGAGATATGACCATGAGCATTCAACGTGGGCGTAGAGGTAGAGGCGATTCTCTTTGCGATATCGTCTTAAAAATATATAGTTTAAATATAATATATTAAAACAACAAAAATGGATACATACTTTTACATTTCGTTATCAGCTTATATTTAATTTTCGCGATTCTACCATCGGTTTGCTTCGAGGGTTTCATTAAACAAACAAAACACTACGATATTTAAGTCATCAAATTGTTACACGAAGTATATTATGAATCGAGAGCACATGTCTACCGCGAGCTATGTGTGTGACTAACAGTCGTTTTCCCACACATCCAAACAGATGTAACATCACCTAAGCGCTCAATCATAACCAGGGTTGACGACCCATTTATAAATTACTAATAAAGTTTCGCTACAAAGATTTCATGTACATCTCCATACAATAATGGACCTTGTAATATGTTAAATATGATTTAAAATTAAAATTTTTGCTAATACATTCAAATTGCTAACTAGCAGGCTAGCTGTGCTAATATTTGATGGTTATTTATTTATGCTTAAATATGATTTACAGTTTACTTAGCGATACTTATATTTACTAACCACTAAAACATCAGACGAAGACAAACTTGTAATACGTAATTGCGTCAAGGTTATTTCTTATTTAACTTTTTGTATGAAAATCTTAAATAATTGTATCCAATTTACAATATTTTTATTAAAATGAAACTAGCAAAAATAAAGTCAATAATATATGAGAAATTTATTGCAGAACTACTAATTTTAAAGTAATATATTTTAAAATTACAGCCAAAAGACGTCCTAACATTTCTTTTTATTGGATAAACAACTCATATATTGTAGAATAATACCCATATATTAGGTATGTAAATTATTCACATCGGAATTAACTTCCAAGATAATTCTAAGCTTCCGATAACCTTAAGCTGTTAACCTCTCGAACCGTAGATAACATCAACGAAAGCATAAACATAGTTCCAATTCCTAGTACATAAAGGGTACATCTGTTATAAGGTAAATTAAGACGTCCGGATCTCGACTAATGTCGACCTCTATACAGCTACTGAATAAGAGAGCGTTCTAAATCATAGCTGACACAAACACAGTCTCACAGATAACACGGAAAACTGATAAAATGGAACATATACAATATGAATTTAATGTGCTCGCTACTAAGAAATCCCATCACAATAAAGTTCAAAGTCTCATATAAACATGTTTTTATTATTTTGCATTAAAACTTCTTTGTTGGAATTTAGAGTTATATTTTTACATCTACCAAAATCGATTCCGAAAGTTTATTTTAAAAGATACCGAATTAAACGCATTGGATTCGAGCTTGTTTACATTTTCATTTAAAAATATCGTACACAAACATTTCTTTAATTCAATGTTTAATATAATGGACAGGAAAATAACAAAATTTTCCTGCATGTTTACTATATGGAAAGAGCCAAAGCAAACTTATTAAGACATTATTTAAAAATTTCTTTCAAACCATAAGCACGCTTAAAGGGATATATCAGACAGAATAAATTAATCTATGCCGATAACCCAATTAGATATACCTAGATAGGCGATAGGCGGTGCAAACAGCAAAATTGTAGGTCCAACACGATTCGATTTATAGATGGTCAGTACTGTGTAGTGGTTGAAGTATCATATCTTAAGATCGTTGTAGGTCGAGATAAAAGCCGCCGCCGTGCACGCCCCGTCACTCATATACACTCATTGTTTGAACCCAGATATTTTATGATTCATGCAGCCATATTGCAAGAACAGATAAGAATGCAAGCAAATAGGGCGTTGCGAGCACAATCGATGTTTTGCCTTTGACATCAATACATGGACCTGCTTCTGATAGGACATCATTAAATACAAAATAATCGAATTGATCGGTTCAAACAAATATTCGCATTCATTATTTTCACATTTTCTTGGATATATAAGTTTAATTACGAGTCATAAGTATATAAGTGCAGTAGTTGTTACTTTTTATGTAAAGATAAAAAATAGCCCTTATATAAAGGTACTTCTTGGTTGTATTGAATTAATATAATTTGTTCTTTGAATATTTATTATTTTATTACAAGAAAGTAGATAATGTTATGTCTTAGACTATTTTAAATAAGTATATGTAAAATAATTGAAATTCAATCATATAGAGTTTTTTCAATAAAATATTAATTTTCCCCAGTATTGTTATACAAATGACGTCAGAAATGTAATACTCATCACTTGGTTTGTAATGAAAACCTCAATAGAACATTAAATCAATATTATGACTAATTTTATAGCTAACTTTTCTGGTAAAAACACACAATACGGAAATTTACATTTCGTTAACGGTGAAGATACATGAAGGAAAATCGTAGGAATAATTTCAAATTCGCAAGCTGACATTGCTTTTTAACTTTAATTGTATGACAAAACGATTCAACCGCATAGTGACGTTTATTCCAATGAAATATCCTAAAGCTTTGCAATCACTTAATACCGATATTATTCGTTGTATGTATCTTTAAAATATAAGGTGTTAAGAATTTTTGTTATTAAAACATTACACCTAATCATCGTAAAGATATAGATTTAAAACCGTATTGTAAAATGTAGTTGAAAATTTATTTAACAAAAAATATTCAGTGGGCGTAGTATGTAATGTATGTGTGTTTATTATATCAGTGTTTCGCAACGTTTAGATAACTGAACTTATTGGTACATATTGATATTAAATTTATTCAAGTGTTGCTCTTAAATAAATATAAGATTAGGATTTCCACAGGGCCGTGGTGTTATTATAATTCTACGAAGATATTATATAAAAACTCACCGAAATATGTATGTACATATAATTTTTAAAAATATCGACACATATTCCGAATTAATATAATAAATTTTTAAAATTTTGGCTTATTGTTGAATTTAAATCTACATAATTTAATATTAAACAAATAAAACGGGTCCGATATATTTCCATAAAATTTAATAATCAAATTAAGTCTATATAATATCATATGTATTATATATAACTGTAATGAATAATTCATTCATAAAATGTATGAATCACTCACGCATATTAATGAAACAACGGTATCAATAATCACCAGTAACAATATTTTACATACCAATTTGTTTCAATGGTTCCTCTGTGACCGGACACAGTCTAACTTTGTTTACTACTATGACGAGTGTGCACTGCATTGTCACATACACAAATATCAACACTATGAGAACAGCATACCTTACATAGATAAGTGTCCATTGATAAAGTCATCGTAAAACGTGCAATCCAATGAAGCGTTTGTTACCAACTGAAGTATTAGCATAATTTCTACTCAACAAAAGCTAATTGCTCACTGAAAATATATATAACTCGTACGTACGGTTATTAAGTTGATGGTTTTTAATTGTACACGACGACTCCCGCATCAATTTAGAGCGGAGAGCAACGGGGGAGCTTTCAGGGACATATATAAACCAATGCTATTTCTGTATATCGCAACGTCAATAGTGAATTCGAATTCTTGAGATTAAATCTAGTATTGCATACCCGCTCGCTTGAAATATATGTTTTACTCTGACTAATAAATGATACTTTGAATATTGTAAACACCGAATATATTACATTGTCACTAGTACAAGACACTTCAGATAATGTTATTAATAAGCACATTAAATACAAGTATAAGATTAACTAATACTGTGTATCAAATAAAGCAATTTTAACGCTATACGACCGTTATATCTGTAATGGCACTTATCGTTGTGAAATTCGGTAATAGCTCAACAGGTCAACATTGAATACGCCCTACATTCTGATTCCCTTTACACAAATATATCTTTACATAGCTATGTGGGTAGGTACAAAATTTATTCAAGTAATATAGCGAAGAAATCGTTAAATATTATTACAATCACCATAGCGAATATTAATGTAAGGCAACATTATATTTTTCCCACGTTTGTTTTGTGTATTGACATATAAATAGTTCAAAAGTCAAGTGTGCTTACATTTAATGAGTACGACCGAGTCGTGGGGTTCGCACTGCACCTGGGTGGCGTTCATGGCCAGCAGCCCTCCGCTGCCGACCCCGCCACCCGTCCCGCTCGCCTCCCTGAAACAAACACACTTTCAATACATACTCGACTATTTACTTGTATCAAAACACTTATTCTGGCATTTAAGACTTTGAAAATATGCAAACTTTAAATAAGAAAGGGTAATACTTATAAATATTTAAGAATTTTTATGTTGGTTTGATTATTTCATTCATACAATACAAAAATTCTTTATGCCATATTAAGTTCAAAATAACGGAAAAGTAATAAACAAACAAACAGACTTCTGCAAAATATTATAATTACCTGTAAATGTTTATGTTTGTGAGTATTATTTTAAGAAAATACATATCACAAAAAAGAGGTTAAAAAGACAATTTGGCAACAAAGTGCTTCATAATAATATTTCCATTTTTCGAAAGGGTACATTTACATATTTATCTTTCATACATAAATATTAAAGTTATTTAAGAGTAGGAAAAGAACAAATATAATATGCTCAATTCAATTTTTTTATTCAATATGATTTTTTCAATTTAGGGTACTTCCTACCCTAATAAATTTTGTAACACCTTATCACAAACAAAAAAATAAACAAATTGCACTGAGTCAAATAAAGAAGAACTAAATTAGTAGTTTATGGTTACTTTATGAACAATTTCACTAAGAAAAACCTTCAAAATTGATATTAAGAAACAATTTGTTGGAAATAAACAGAGACAAATTAAAATTGATTATACCTAATAGCTTTTTAATACCATTGAAGATTTTTACATCTTTTTTCTTAATATAACTGAATCTAAGCAAAACTTTCTTACTAATCATATTATAATTCTGAATAATCATGGTAAAAATTAATTTAATGATCACAAGATTTCTGTCTACCAATCCATTGAATGTCATAATGGTTGTCTATTCTTCGGAACTTGCAACTAGAGTGGAACAATTGACTTCTATTATTTGTTTTATAACGAATTCTATGTTTACTTTTACTTCACAACTTTCTTTATAAAACTAAAAATATTTTTTAATAAAACTGGCATAATATTATTACTATGGCTTAAAAAACTGTTGAAATAATTACAACCACAAATCTTTTAAATATATTCTGTAAAAAGGAATTGGTTCATCTCAGAAAAATGCCTGGAAATCATCCAAAATCTTAGTCATAGAACTTACAAGATAAATGAACAGACTATTTACTTGTATTTGAAAGTTTACTTTTATAAATACTAAGAAAAATTCAACATCTGTAAAAACAATTAGTTGAACACTCGCTTCTGTTGCATGGAATTCTGGTTGTTTACTTTCTAATGAAATTCTTTTAAATGTAAACTGTATGTAATGAAAGCATGAAATAAAAAATGTAACATTGTACAAGAGTTTGTTAATATTGCACTAGCTATTAAAATGATACTTCTACTTTATGGTTTAATAATAAATATTATTTCAATATTAAAAAATTACTATATTCTTAAGGAATTAATTTAATTTGGAGGAATCCAAAATAAGTCAATATTAAATATATTTAAGTAGAATATAATTTGTTTCTTTTTTATTTGTAGATATTATTGCCAAAAATTTCGAAGTGATTTTTCAAAATTCATACATTATTAAGGTTGTTTAAATCTCAATAAGTTTAAATTCTTTAAAAAGTTTGATATAAAATAAAAAATTCAATGCCTACAAAATTTTATAAAAAAATTGAATAAAACCACCATCTTTCTTTTCTAACAAAAATACTGTATTATGTAAGAACATTACTCAAGTATTAATCATAAAAATAACAAAGTTATGGGTGAAAGCGTTAACAAATTAATGAGGCAAATATTTACAGGGGAAACATTTTATTTCCTCATATATAAAACAGTAGCATTTAATCATTGTTTTTATAGCATAACAATAATAAAAGTAAAATAACCTTCATTTGTGAAAACTGTTAGCGTTATAAACAAGTACTTTCTGGTTTTCAAGTGTAATAGGTAATTAATCATAAGTTAGATTATGTTGTATTAAATAACTTGGTTTTTTGTTATTTTTATGTACTCACATTTGCTTGTTAAATATAAATACCACATTATTACTTTTAATTGTCTATTCTTAGTTAAAATATATATTTTTTATCGAATTCCAGAAAAAATAGTCTAATTAAATAAGCATACTTTATTTCAATAATTTAAAATGAAATTTTATTTACTCAAAACTGGCATAGTAAGATGTACAGGAATTATGTTTCATAAACCAAAATCATGGAATCCCATAATTGTTTATTTTTAATAACAAAATAAAACTTCCGCACATTAACACATATTGTTGGTAAAAATTGTGTATACAATGTTGACTATAGTTCGGAGATAATTTAAAGTAATACAACCAATTCTTGTTAAATTTACTAAAATGCACAAAAAAGAAAAAACTTTACACTAAAGGAGATGGTTTCTTTTTTACTTACTCTATTCTACACTTCTAAATCATTATCAGTTGCTATCTGTAATTTTAAGTTGTTTCATGTTTAAACTGAGTTAAGCTTTTTGCAGACATGAGAAACATATTTTTAAGTGACAAGGGTGCAGGTAGAAAAATAAGTAGTTTTTATCTGGAAGAGTTATGCAAAACCACAAAAAAAAACATTGGAGAACTAATAAAGTTAAAGAAAATATGAATGAATACTAAAATATAACATAAGGGAAGTGATTGAGCATTTTGAATGATATAATGTAAAATTTAAAGGTGTTTAAATATATAATCTTTGATTTTTTAGATTTATTGCTTGGTTTTGGTTTCTTTGTTTTGAAAAAGTTGAGTATTCATGTACGGTACATTAGTAAAATATTTTCAAGTACAGTGCACTAAATGCCGAATAATTGTTGCCATTTTACACCGGCAAGACAGCTGTATCATTTACATAGTATATATTTTTAGGTCAAAGTACGATGAACTTAAGAGCGCTTTACTTACCGTAAAATACTTAGGGCCAGCACTTGTTTCCCAATGGAATGCGTGCAGGCAGGGCCCGCATTCACTAGGTAAGCATTACCCACTGTTTTATGCACGTTTGGAAAGTTTCCTCAACGGAAACCGGCCACGACAACAATCACTGTTCACACTGCTGGATTCACAGGCGTTCAACCTGCCAGGAATGTACCAAAATAGCACCACTCTTGTTTTATTCACTGTTTCAAACAAAAGGCACTGGTATCCAAGTAACAACAAATAAACGGCACAGGTTTTAAGCAATGTGTTTTGTTTATAATCTGTTCGTTATACAATAGCATCTGTGAACTTTTTCACACGCGCTTATCCAAAAACTTGTTTTAACTATATTTGAATGATAGAAAATCAGAATGAAGCGTCAATCTCGCTGCGATAACCGAAAAACACGAGCAAGACAAACGCGCAGCTGGCTAGCTGTCGCCTCTCGCTTACGCTTGGGTACGGCGCGGGGTGAGGGAGGTTGGAGGGGCAAGCTCACATCGCCCCCCAACCTTCCTGCTTCGTCTCAAAGTGGCAACTCGCAAGTCATTTTCATTAAGTATTACGTTACGTTTACGTTTTATTTTTATAATATCGTTGCATGCCAAATCCTGTACGAGTAACTTACTTGCCAGGTATAAAATTTAAGAACTATAGGTTATTACGGTGTATGTGTAGAGCTAAAAATATAACAGATTTCAAATCAGTTCTATTGCGTGTGACCATAAATAAATATTGTATTGTAAATATACCTATACAATATATGTATATTAATATTGAAAATCTATAATTTGTTTTTCATTAAATATAAATTGTCAAATATAGTAAAATATATAAAAAAAATATTTTTTTAATAACCTTCTTTAAATTAATTGGCATTAATTTTTTTTTTCTAATTAAAGTACAGTATGTTTTCTATTCAAGATAACATTATTTTTCTTTCATTTCATTCGTTTCTATCATTATATTAAACTTTTAACAATAGCTGACACAAAAGTTCGTGGTACGTGTGCTTGAAAAGTTAAGCTAAAATAATAACCTGCACATTCCTTCAGAAGCAAGTTTTTCACACGACACACTTTCGTATAATTTTCGAGAAAGTGATCCATCATTGATGATCTATCATGAGGTCCGCGGGTTTCTCCACATCATGCAGGAGCGGACAACCC